AAGTGATATTAACATGTGCTGAATTTTGAGAACTTCTGATGTAAAGACAAAATCTAATTTCTATAATATATAAAAAGCTCCTGCAAATCAACAGCACATATTTCAATAAGCCACTAGAAAGATGGACCAAGGATATGCAAAAATTGTTTCCAGAGGCAGAAATAGAAATGGTTCTTATAGAAGGTGTTCCATTCCACTCCTGCTAAAAAGGACAGAAGTATTTCCCTAGATACATTGACCTCTCAGATAGACAAGGACCCCCAAAAGTTGATAGTAACCCTGCAGTGAGGTGTGAGTCATTACCCACCTTCATGTAATCCTGGTGGGATTGTTACCAGTTTCAGCCTCCCTGTGTGGAGATGTGGCAGTGTCTATTTATGTGCAGTTATGAATTAGAACAGATAGACATTCTGCATGCACACTCAAATAGGAGATAAATGAAGCATGTGGTCATTTTTGCAATATTCTTTGTGTTAACAAATGATAAGAATTTGACAGACTATTTACAGTCTATTCACACAATGGAATGCAGTGTGTCCTTAGAAGTAATGGTGAAGCCGTTTGTACACAGGGTTTGAAGAATCTCCAATAAGTAAAGAAAAAAAAGTAAACCACATGAGCAAATAAAGGCTGCCAACATTACGAGGATGAAGAGAACCAAAGAATAAACTCAGGTGGGGCTGGGGTTACAGCTCCGCAGTAGAGCGCTTGCCTGGCACTTGTGAGGTTCTGGGTATGATCCTCAGCACTACATTAAAAAATAAATCAAATAAAGATATTGTGTCCATCTTTAAAAATAATCTAAAAAAAGAATAAACACAGGTGTTTTGTGGATATGCCTGAGACAGCCCTAGGAGAGTGCAGGGGACACTGAGAGCCCTGGTTGTCTGAGGCAGGAGGAACTCGATGCCTAAGTGTGGGGGTGGGAGACCCCTCCAGGTTTCCTCTCTCATTCAGTCTGAAATTTGAAGCACAAACACATGCCTCTTGCATGAATAAAGAAGCAGTTAACACATGAGAGTGTGCTACTGGGTGAGGTGGCAGTGAGGTCTTGGAATGTGCACACTCCTGGGGTGGAGGCACTTGGCTGAGATCTTTGTCATGCTCATGGTCACAGGTGCTCACAGTAAATGCCCACAATGTGGGCTCACCTGAGAGTCTGAACCTGGGGAAGCAGAAGTGTCCACTCACCTGGCTAGAGGAGGAGGTAAACAGCCCCCAGTCCAGCTATTCTCCCTGAGTCCCCTGACCCCCTCTGACCTCCACCTTCACCAGACCTTCCTTTTTTTGTAAACCTGAAACCTGACCATGGTTGACTTACAGACCCTGGTGGTAAGTAGATTTCTAACTTGGTCTTCATATGTCCACCCCCTGCTGTTACACAAACCTTCTTCTCTGATCAACTAGGTGTTGCTGTAGAGGGATTTTGCAGGTGGAATTTGGGTCTCGATCTGTTGACTTTTAGATTAGGGAGTTTATTCTCCTGGATCCGGTCTGATCAGGCGATTGCTTTAAAGATCTGGACTCTCCTTGGGAAAACAGATTCAAAACTTGAGAGGGATTCTATACAAGGACATTTTCATGCTGGTTTTCAGATGGGAACACTGGTTTTTGTGAGAAAATCTACAAGAGCATCACAGGAGAGGAAATGTGGGTGGGTCTTAGGAACTCAGTGTGGTCCCCCCTGACAGCTGCTAAGAGAAGGGAACTGGWCTCTGCCTGCAACCAGGGAGCTGGAGGAGGAATGCAAGACCCATAAGAGACTGTAGCCTGGCTGATGTGATCTTGTCAGTCTTTTAGAACCTGAACAAGGAACTCATCCCCCTGTGCTGGGTTGCTGACCCACAGAAACCGCAAGGGAACAAATTTGTTTTTCTTCATCAGCGACATTTGCAGAAGTGTGTTTTGCAGCAATCGATGCTGAAGGCAGCCTCTCACCTGCACATGGTAGTGGGCCATGAGTACGGCAAAGCTGCTGAGGTGGGTACAGTGGCAGGTGGTGCTGCCACCTCYGGTGCTCACTGTCCTGCAGCCTGCAGTGGTCCAGTGACTCCCATTCTGGCTGTGGTCCCAGAAGACACAGAGCACC